GGAGATTGGGGCGCCTCTGGATTCCACGGGAACGCGCGATGCACATGCGCTGTTCGACAGAATTCCCAGGGGCATCGGAGCGCCCGAGGATTCTATGGGCGTGCACCGCGACGCCTGCGTGCAGCGCGGCGCCTGCGTGTACCGCAGCGCTTGCGAATGCCACGACGCCTGCGTACACCGCAGCAGCCGCGCGCAACGCAGCGCCAGCGTGAACCGCGCTTCCTGCGTGAACCGCAGCGCCTGCGCGCGCAGCGGCGCCCGCTGGAAAGGCGCGGGGCCGCCCTGTCTTCATCTCCTCCATGGCGCTGCGTCTACAACCAATGCGTGCAGCAAGGGCGGGCGGCGAGGACTTGAGACCCTTGGATGCCGAGCTTAAACTTTGTCTGCAAGGGCTAGCTGGCCAATAAAAACGGCAAGGGGCAAGCCGCAAAAACAAGGACACAAGGGTGCTTCGGAGGAGGCCCGCGCCCTTATCAGGCGCGTTGACTGCGTCGTGCTGCCGCCGAGCGCCGGCCAAAAAGGAGAGAGAGAGAGAGAGAGAGAGAGAGAGAGAGAGAGAGAGAGAGAGAGAGAGAGAGAGAGATCCACCGCAATTTGCACTTGCAGAGAAGTGGTCTAACCAGCCTGCGGGAGCTGAGCCATCGCTAGCTACATTGGACGACGACGACGACGAAGACGACGACGGACGACGACGACGACGACGACGACGGACGACGACGACGACGATTGCGAGCGCCGCAGAACGTTTGCGAGCGCGCACCAATGCGTGCCGTTTAGACCGCGCCACGCCTGCGAGCACGGCGCCACGCCTGCCAGGGGTCCGCTCCCAGCACGTAAGGATGGGGGGGGCCAGGCCCCCCCTCCCCTGCGGCGCGATCGCTAGCGCTGCGCGGGGGGGGGGGGGGGGGGGGGCAACGACCGCTGCGCGGGAGAAGGGGGGAAAGACTCGCGTGCGCCCCCTGAGCAACCGCCCGTTGCGATCGACGTCCTCCGCGGGGCGCGCGGGCACCCCGACTGCCGGCGCGTCCGCGCCCCGGTCGCGCCTCTAGCGCTGCGCAAACGCGTCCAGCGGGTCCGCCTTCAGCTCGATCTCCGTCGCAAACTCCCTCGCGCGGAGATTCGGAGGGAATGCCTCGGCCAATGGCGGAACTCTGCTAAAGAACGCCCCGCGGACTTCGTCCGGAACCGCCGATTGGTTCGAAATGGCGCGGGCCCCCTCGCGCGCTGTCGAGCAGTCTAGGCAGGCCGTCTCCGTCGAACGCATGACCTTTGCCATGTCTGCGCCCCCTGCCTGAAACCTCGCCCCCCGCGGCTTTCTGTTGTATCCAAGGAGAAGCTTTTCTCCCGCATCTGAGCCGCGCTGGCACCTCGCTCGCGGCGGTGTCGTCGTTGGGAGGCCGCGGGAGTGGCGTGATCCTCCACCGCCAGATTCCTTTTTCGACACTGGCCCCAACAAATAATGCACCAATCATCCGTGCATCGCGCGAGCTCTAACAAGTCCCACAACTCTCGGACGCGGTCCGACCCGTCTTCCCAAAACGCGCGAGCCGTGTCATGCGCGTGCACGGGGGGCACCACCGTCGGATTTGAAGCTGCGAAGGTCCCAGAGACTGCATGCAACTGCCAGGAAGTCCGCGCGCATGGCGACGCTCACATATCCGAAGGCCGTCTGAAAATCCGCGGGCCCCTTTTTCATCCGTGTTTCGTACTCGGAGGGCGCCAGACATCATCTGTTCCAGTGCGCCGAGCAATTCCGCCGCTACCGCGCTCACCTGTTCCAGGGATTTCTGCGAAGCAGACTTCGCAGTGCACAAGGACTCTTGCAATCCCCTCAACACCCGCTGACAACCTTTCTTCACATGAACATCACCGCGCAGCACTATCTGGGCATTGCCTCCACCACGACTAATTGAAAACCGGCCCAGTATTGTTCTCAACATCTACAATCCGCGGGAAAGAAATTACGTCGCCGTCCTTTCCCACTTTCGGCGTATCCCCGGGATCCACGACAGAATGCCGAACAACTGCCCGCACGCATGGGGATGTGTTCATTACTGCGTTCTCGCTGCCCGGCGCAGTGTTCTCTGCGTAATGAACGCACCCATTCGACCACGCAGGCTCCGACCAGCATGCTGGGCTTGGGTGGTCTAGCGAGTTCTTTGTCTGCTCTTCCGAAACCCCTCTTCCATTCGGGGAGGGGTGCCCTTCCTCTCTCCCATGTTTTGTGCGGCCTGCGATCGGTTAGGGCGCCTGGGATGGATCCAACAGGGCCTCCAATGCTGCAAGACGACCTCCAGAGCGGCTCAAGATAGAAGAATATGGTTTCAGATAGCTTCCGACACACCTCCAAAGGGCCCTGTGAGGGTCACAAGACGGTTCCAGGTGCTCTCGGAACCCCTTCAGGACCCTCCCGAAGATACCAACACCCTTCAAACACCCACGGGAAATTACTGATGATAGCTGTCGAGACTTTTCGCTTCCGATGTGCTTCTGAAGCGTCAAGAAGGCCCCAAGATGGCCCAGGAGGCCCCAACGGCCCCAAGGACGCCCAAGATCGGCCCAAGAGCGCCCACCCCAGCCCCTGTGGGAGGGGACCTGGGACCTGGGTCAGAAGGCCCGAAGCACCAGGGACAGGGGGCCGCGTATGCTGCAGATGCGCCAAATCGAACCACCCATATCTTTGAGCCCCTGATGCTAAAATGGAGACATAAGCTTGGCTACTCTGAGCAGTGCGAAATGACAACAACGGCGTCCACACGCACCAGATTTTCCGAGGTGCGTCCGGCCGTGGAGACCAGGCCCCCCCCCGAAGGCCAGCTACGGTTGTCTCAACGCGCTCTCCTCTGAGGCTACGGCTTCGTTGGAGCCCGCCGAGAGGCGACGACAGTGCCGACCAGGAGCACGACGACGAGCGGCGGCGGCAGGCGGCGACGGCTCCGCGAGCCGCGGCGACGGCCGAGGCGCGGGGGCCCCGAGGTCATGGCCACAGCCGGGCCACCGACGCGAGGCCAACCTGCCGCGCCCAAGCCCGTGCCTGATTCGAGGCCTCCCAGATAGGGTCGGAGTAGATGGGGTCGGGGGATCGCGCCGCATCGCCGATCCATCGGCGATGCATCGGCGATGTATCGGCGATGCACGGGCGATGCATCAGCGACATCGGCGACTCATCCTCATCGGCGACGTCGGCGCGGAGAAAATCGGGCCCCGCATCGAGCCGCATCGCCGATGCATCGGCGATGCGGCGCGATCCTCCGACCCCATCGACTCCGACCCCACCTGGGAGGCCTGGAAACATGCCGACACCGCTGCGCCACGGGCCCCTCGCCTGTGGGACGCGTTCTGGCCGGGCTCTCGCGGCGAACCTAGCCGTGGCGACGAGGGAAGGGCAGCGGTTCCCAGACGCGCGACGTCCTGAGCAGGGGCCGACCGTCCCCGCATTCCTATAGACCTACCACGATATTCGGCGGTGGACCAAACTCCCTTTAGTAAACTACCCTTTAGTAAAACGGCCTAGGACCGAAACCGATGGACCTGGAACCGCAAAAATGACGGCCGCGACGCCCTCTGACGAACCGGAAACGGCCAATTCGCTAAATAATCGACGTGTGAGGGTAGGAGGTCTATCAACCTCCGAGATGTGTTCCTAGAACCCAGACTGTTCTAAGGTCTTAAGCAATTTCTTAGAACATAAGCCCGACGTGTCAAAACAGGACAGTCTCAGCCAACAATGTCCTAAGAACATGTCGTGCAAAACAATGAAGGCTCTTAGCACATTCTTGGGTGGGCCTGTAGGCAAGCCAAGACGCTTCGCCACTGCTTGAACGTCCTGTTTGTTCTTCATCCAGGGTCGCTTTGTTGTCGGCCCCGGGGCCCGACGAGGGAGGGCCCCTGGATAGGCGGCCAAAGGCTTGCCGTCGCGGTTTTGTTCACGACGCGAGCCATGTCTGGGCCAGGGGTGGGCGCTTCCTTCTCCGTAGCGGGGGCCACGGGTCTCTCTCGCTTGCGCAGGGCCCAAGGGCCTCGGACGCAGTGGGCCGTTCCTTTCCCCGGGACCGGCTTCTTACCCTGAATCGTTTCTTCACGGTCCCGGGGCCAGGCGAGGGCCCCCAAAGGCCAGAGGCCGGAAACGACGAACAAAACGGTACTTGCATTCACGATGCGGGCATGCCTGAGTTTGGGGAAGCCGATAATTACCGCTACTCCCCAGACCTCTCCCGGTGCGCCTTCTGACCAGCATTGCGAGGCGAATCCGGCGGTTGCGACGAAGACCTCCCAGGAGCCCCCCCTCCCCCAAAAAACAAAAAAACATAGGGAAAGGCAGCGCAGGGGCAACTCTTCCTCTTCTGAGGGCCTGCCTCTCCTCAGTGCCGTGCGCCGAGATCGTGGCGCGTTCCGCATCGCCGGCGCCCCAGGACCCCCGACGTTAGGATGTTTCCATGACGTGACCCACAGAATGAAGTCGGGCCTGTTCCTCTACAGGAGGAATGTTCAAACATTGTCCAAGAAATAATATGGGGACGATTTGTTGGGTCATTTTTGAAGTTGTTTGGAACATGTTTGGGGTATTTTTGTGTTTCTAGCAAAATCCGCCTATAGAGGGACATGCCCGACCTAACCCCAGAAATCCGTGCACCCATTCCCCAAGACAGGTCTCTCCTCTGGCACCGCTTCTTGATACGAAAAAGAGAAAACCGCATAAACATAAACTGTTGGCGCTCCGCGCGGACTTCTTGTATCCGCGCTGCCCCCCCCCCACCCCGCGGCACCTCCGGCAACGCTCCTGGCGCGCTCCGCGCTACAGCGCAAATCCAAGACATCCGCGCCGAGCGCCAAAAGTGTATGTCTATGGTCTATGCCGTTTTTTTCTTCTTCGATTGACGGTCCTGAGGCCCGGTGAGGGCCCCCCAGGGCCGAACATAGCGAAAACCGTTCCGTCGTGATTTCTATGACGCGAGGAGGTCTGGGGCAGCCGCCGCCGGACGCCGAGCAGCACGGCCGGCCTCGGCCGCGGCGGGCCGCCGGCGCGGCGGTCGCGCGCACGGCTCGGCCGCAGCCGGGGCGCCCACGGTGCAGCAGGCGGTCCCAGCGGGCTCCCTGCGGGCCGCGCGCGCGGCCCGTGCGCCGCCCCCAGGCTCACGTTGCTCCCAGCGGACTTAAGGACCACATCCCAGAAATAATTTCGAGCACCCAGAAAGATATCGGAACAGTGTCGAACGAGTATCGCCTCCCAGGGCCCGCACGTGAAAACCCGGAAGTTTCGGTACTGTCTTGGTGCTCGAAATTCTTTCTGGTGGTCAAGGCTAAGGTAGGTTGGAAGATCACAGCCCCAGGCCTGCACGCGCTGGGCGGCTCCAGCAGTGCAGACCCTGCGAAATCAGCTCTCTGGCGAGCGCGGCCGCCCACCCCCAGGTGGCGAGCCTGGTGCGGGGTCGTCGCTCGGCGCGGGGTGGGTGTCGCGGCCGGGTGCCCGCAGGGGTGTTTTTGCCCGGCGGCGCACCAGCCAGGAGGGGCGCCCGTGCGGGCGGGTGTGCGGGACCTGGGCTCTGATGCGACGGAGTTTTCCTCCCCTGCTGCGAGGCGGGGATCTATCCGTATCCACCGCCTGGGAAGCGACGTCCTGGTGCCCCCGCGGGCGGTGGATATGGAGATACTTTGGCCCCCGAGGACACGAATATGTCCATATCCACCGCCTGCCGAGGTCCCCGAAAATTGATCCTCCAGGCGGTGGTCATGCATAGATCCCCGCCTCGGACCTGCCCCCCTCCCTCTCCCTGAGGGGGGCGGGACACAGCACCCTGGATTTTCGAGGCTCGATCGAGCCGCGCGCCCCGAGCTCGTCCGGCCCCCTCGAGGAGGCCTGGGGGAGCTCCCACTGCCCGGCGGGCCCTCCCGCCAGGCAGCCCGAGCACGCGCCGCAGAACCTCTTTCTTCCCGAGGCCTCTGAGCACACGTGTGCCAGGCGGACAGGATCGACTGGGGAGACAAAGGAAGCGCGGACAAGCTCCCTCTGACCAGAGTAGCGGGCGGTTAGAATTTTCTGTGCGCAACGTAAGAAAGAACGCCATCTGAGGCGACGGCCTCTGCCATGAACGAAGGGACAGACGTGCCGAAGAGAATGCTGCGGAAAGCTAACGGAACGGAGAAGTTTCGTGCTGAAGAACATGCCGCGGCAAATGCATGCTGCCGTGCACGAAGAGACAGGCGCGCTGAAGGAAACAACGGTGATTGCCCTTGATTGCGCTAGCCTCGATAACCCACGCGGTGGCCGAACACGAGCCTAGACCCTCTTCCCCCAAGCCGCCCGCGAAACGGCAGCAACGCGACGACGACGACCACCACCACCACCACCACCACCACCACCACGACGAGGCTGAAGACGAGGACGAGGACGCGGACGACGACGGCGCCCCCCATACTCGCTCCTCCCCTCTCCAAGGACGGCCCCCAGACACCCCAAAACCATATGGATCCTCGATCCTCGCTCCTCCTTCCCCCCAGAAGCTCCTCCAGCTCCCCCCAAATGACGGCCCCCAAACACCCCCAAACCAAATGAATCCTCGTTCCCCCCTCCTCCTTGACCCCCGATTGCTGGGAGGAGCCCGATACCCCCTGACGGTGACCCGGGCCCTCCTGGGCACCGCCTGAATCCCAAGCAACTCGAGCATGGGCCGCTGTCTTCCGTGCTTGAGTGAGAACGGGAGGGGGGGACCCGCTCACAGGGGGAAACATTGGCTTGTAATCTGGGCACGTCGCCGATGGATCGGCGATAAGGCCTCGATTGCGAGACCGAACGTTCCAGGGTACACGATGCCTCTCCCCGCCGCTGAGCGCCTCGGCGGCGGGCTTTTCCACCACGACCAGGAAGCGCCGCGGCCGCCCAGACACGTGCCCGGAGGAGGAGGAGGAGAAGGAGGAGGAGGAGGAGGAGGAGGAGGAGGAGGAGGAGGAGGAGGAGCAGGAGGAGGAGGAGGCGTCCCACTGCGGCGAGGCCTCAGTTTTCGCGAAAAGGCATGGCCCGTGCAGCCGAAACCAGTCGGCCGCAGCCAGAGTAGACAAAGCGGCTCTCATCCACCTCCTCCTCCTCCTCCTCTCCTCTCTCCTCCTCCTCCTCCTCCTCCTCCTCCTCCTCCTACTTCCCTCCTCCTGTTCCCCCTCCACAATTACTCAATGAATACTGCTCTCCCTCTTCCTCTGATGACGGTTTGAAAATATCCGCCCCCCCCCCGCGTACTGTTTTTTACACACAGGTTTCCCCAGAGTTGGGTTTTCGCCTGCATTTTTGTTCCAACATGCTGCTCTCGCTGAGGCGCCGGCCTCATTTTCGGGCCCTGCTCATTCCGAGTCGTGCTCCCGCTGCAGCGCTGGCAGCATCATTTCCGCCGGCGCCCGGGCTGCACGCCCGAGCCGGCGCCCGGGCCGGCGCTCGGGCCGGGTCCGGAGCCAGTTCTGGCCGCCGCCGCAAAATCGAGTTCCGAGGCGGCGCCGAAAAAAGGCTATTCCAATACACATTTTTTTGAAAATGCTGAATTTCTGCTTCCGGCGCCCGGGAAAACCCCCCGGGCCGATTCCGACGCCCAGGCCGGCGCCCGAGCCGGCGCCCGGGCTGGACGCCCGAGCCGGTGCCCGGGCGGGCCGGGTCTGGAGCCGGTTACGACCGGCGACGGAAAATCGAATTCCGAGGCGGCGCCGAAAAAAGGTCATTCCAATACACATTTTTCTTTTGAGAATGCTGAATTTATGCTTCTGGCGCCCGGGAAGCCTCCCGGGCCGATTCCGGCATGCTTCCGCTCGTTCCGAATCGTGCTCCCGCTGCAGCGCTGGCCTCATTTCCGCACTTCCGCTCGTTTCGATTCGTGCTCCCGCTGCAGCGCTGGCGTCATTTCCCGTGCCACGCCACGGCATGCAATGAAATGCTAGGTTGATACTACGTTTCGCTGCTCTTCTACGCCATGCCATGCCGTGCTCTACAATGCATCGCGTACCCTTTCGGGATCATTACCCTGCTCGACATCCGACTGTGCGAGTTGAGAGGGGATCTGCGCCATGGTAAAGGATGGGAGGGAGGGGTAGGATGTCACATATGACGCAAGCGTACTTAGTTTGTTATCATCCCCCTCCCCCTCCTCCTCCTCCCAACCCGTCCCCCGCCCACACCCCCTCGCCCGCCGCCGTCGGCCTCTCCTTCTCCTCCTCCTCCTCCTCCTCCTCGGTCGGTCTGTCGGTCGGTCGGCAACTAAGGGAATGAGTCTGGATCCCAATCGATGTGTGAGACGAGAGCGGCAGCAGAGAGAAAAAAGAGAGCGGAGGCAGCGATCGCTGGAGCGGGCAAGCCTCATCACGGTGAAACACGTCATCCCCCCCCACCCATTACAAAGCCCAGTCCCAGTCCATGACGTGCATTTCAAAGCCCAGTCCTGGTGCAGGGAGTCGAGCCAGTACACGTGGTGATAGACATCGACGCTTAGGTGGATCTCGACCACGGTCGGCAGGGGAAAATGACACACCCAGGTGCTGGGGGCTAGTCGGGGTACTACCACCTGACAGCGGCGAAAAAGGGACCTTCCCCCGAATACGTGCAAGAGTTAAGGTGCTGCGCACACCCTAGCCACACCCAGATGTCGGGGTAGTTGGGGCACTGCTACCTCACGGCAGCGAAAAAGATACCTGCCCCCAAGCAGCGCAAAACATCCCCACCTGTCAGCGAGAGTTACAGGTGCCGCGCACACCCAGGCCAGGGGGGCAGTGAAGAAACACAGCAACTTTATGCGGGTAAGGACAGACCTCGCCACAGTTTCTATTGAGAGGGGAAGCTGGCACCCGTGTGAGCGTAGTCACGGCCCCTCTGGAACTCAAAGAAGGGGTCGAGAGGCGCGAAGAGTGGGGCTACAATGTCGTCTAAATCAAAAGGGGGGTCCCCCTCACAAGTGAACTGACTCTGAATAGACACAAACACAGATTGCGCAAGAAAGCGGCAAAATTGGGATGGGTACGTCTTCGCCGCAGCCGTATTCCACCCCCCACCCCCATCCCTGCCTTCAAGCACAGACGGATGGGCACGATGTTGGCACCTCCCATGATGGGGCAATTCCCGAAGCAGCTGGCCCATCATAGGCACATTGATTCCAAGAAGGGACGTGGGTTTCTTTGCACGCTGCCCGAACATGTTGGTCAATCCTATACAGGTGGACCCCAGGCATCCTGGCAAAACGAACCAATAGGGGGAGGTACCAACTACTAGGGACGTTGGGGCGGTGCTCGGCAGGAGCAGGGTGCTCCATCGCAGCCGGGAGACCCAGTCTCCACGCCGCCACGAGAAACTCGAGCGTCGTGCGCAACAGAGCGTTGCCCACATCTACCTGGGCCTGCTCCTTGGGCGCAAGGCAGCGCAACCCCCAAAGCATGTCGGGTGACCTTAAGGGTCGAGGGTGAGGGCCAGGGCTATCTTCGGGGATCTCATTGTGGCGAGCAGCACTCCACGTCTCGCATGGGGGCCCCGCAACCACCCCCGCGACCCGCCCATCTTTCATAAGTCGCAGCCAGAAGTCCACAATACTCGGCTTGGACATATCACCATAACGGGGGCAGTGGGTAATGTCGATAGACAAAACAATAACAGGAACCTCATGCTGGGAGGCCAGTTTTTCGGTCCACTCTTGGAAGTCCCCCGCGCGACGCTGGCCCGAAAAGAAGTGAAACAAGTAGCGATGAGGCCGGGGCGGAGGCGGGGGCGGAGCCAAGGGCGGCGGAGGCGGAGGGGGCGGGGGAGGGGGAGCAGCCGGCTCCGCCACAGGCACATCTCCCTCGAGGACCTTGGGGCCCCTGGCTGGGCCATATACACGGCGGGGGGGAAAGTGTGCAAAATCATCGGTGAGCCCCCTGGCACGGTTTGCGCTCTGGTCACGACCCCTTTCATCACGGGCCGCGGCAATTTCTTCATGAGAGGGTCTCGCCCCAGTGGCAACAAGACCACGAAAACATACACGAGCTCGGGCCAAGTGTTTATAGGCGCCCGTTGGCCCTGAAATCCCAGCAACATATTTGGCAAACCGTGCCAGTGGCGAGCATAGACGGGGTCATCACATGGGGGTGCTGCTTGCCCCTGTGGCTTCGAAGAGCACGTTCAGTCTTGAATATCTGCCCGCACTCGTAGCACGCGACCCCCTGGTGCGCCGTATCTATGCGCACTTGCAGCGGGGCGCCCTCGATGGCGGCGCTCATGCGCTTGTCCCACAGGAGAAGGCGATGCTGATCGCGCCACCAGGCACGAGCGTGAGCGAGCGCACTCTTGATGGGGGCGCTGAAACGCGAGGGGGAGAGTTGAACCGCTTCTATCCATTCGTCCATGCCCCCACCTCCAGGGATGTTTTTGGGTTCGGTAAAGAGCACTCGCCAATCCAAACTTTCACCGAGCGCGCGAGCCCAGCTTTTTTGGTCCAGGAGAGCCACATCTAGCAGCCGAAGTAAAAAAAAACGATGGGCCGAACGGAACAACCTAACTAGGAACCTGAGTCGAGAGACATGAACCACGATTTCCCACGGGAGGCGTTCAGCCTTAGCAATAATTTCCAAGTGCGAGTGTTGAACCTCAGCCGAGTTTGCCGCGGGCAGCCCCAGAGCACAACGGTGAATGAACTCGTGGCAAACGCGGAGCCGATTCCGAACCGCACTAGGCATCGGCTTCCAAAGGGCAGCAGCATAAAAGAAGCGACTAGAGCCGAACGCCTCCGCATAGAGAAGCTTAGCATCCATAGCAAGAGCCTCCCGAGGAGCAATGGTGGCCTTCACTGGGCGGACAGCAGCCTTAGCAGCGATACTCCGCGCGGTGATCTCAAGTCCCTCCCCCCCCGAGTCAGAAAGCACGACCCCCAGGCATTTGTGGGCCCGGACAACATCAACAGCAATCTTGTGTTGGGGGGATATGACCTGGGGTACTTCAGCATCATATAGCTGTCGAAAGGCTGCCTGAGACCCAACCCCCCTGAAGCGGAGCATGATTTTAGTTTTCGTCGGATTGAGACGAAGCCCATGGAGGGCACACACAATGCAAACTACGTCAATAACCTCGCCTAAGTTCGCCGCAAGAGTTCGAGGGTCGGCGTCCACAACAGAGGGGGTTAGATCATCCACAAAAGAGACAGTGGCGGTGACTTCTCGGCCCTCCACGGTGAGAGAGAAGACTTCGTGCATTGTCTGTGGGAGCCACCGTAGCCCTCTATCTTCCATTTCATCCTCAATGTCGCGCTGGATGTTGGCGAAGGCGGCGTTGAACACATCCGTGGCCATGATCGTGCCGGGTCGACAGCCCGTGCGGGGAATCACAAACCCCTCCGCCCCCTGGACCGCCCAAAATGCCCCCCTCTGAGCCTCTCTTAGGAGCGCAATCAAATGGGGGTTTTCAATATGTCTCTCCAGGAGCGGGCCTTGTGCAAGTTGGGCTCGGACGCCATCAACTAGGGCCGGGGGGATCGAGAGGATTTCTAGGGTTTCCTCTAAGAGTTCTTCTTCCCCTGGGAGATCGTGCACCAACTGCCGAATAGTAGAATGAGAGGCAGCAGTAAGGTCAACGGACAGACTCCCGCAGGATAACTTTCTAGCATCGGCGGCCGACCAGAATGATTTCACAAAGTGGACCGCAGTGTCGCACGATCTCCCAGGCACCCCCCCG